TCTACATTTTAATGTAGTATAATAATTGTCCTTGTGGTTGCGCTTGGATGCAGGTGATATTTCTAAGCATCTCTGCTGTTTAAGATGTATGCTTTCATTAATACTGAAATTTAAATGAGGTTATAATACATTCAGCTTGTTTCAAACTTTCTTACAAATAACTGCATGGTAAATTCATGGCACAAAAAACTTTCTTTTTGTTTAGATAGTCAAGCCTTCATGTCTGTATTATTCCAATCTTTTTTTTGCTGAAGAACTTTTTTTCATAGAAATGTGAGTGGAATTAATGATTGCACAGTTACTTCACTGGATCTGTACACATGTTCAAGAATTGCTGCAGATAAACTGGAAGGGAAAGAAAGACATTTTTGTTTATCTGTTACTCTGAGAGGTTAGCATGTGAAGTTTCCTGCCTGCTCAGGTTGAGGTTGTGGTCCAGGCCTTGGATAAACTCAGAGGACAGAAGGAGTTCAAAAGCAATAGTTTCCTTTACAGTCATGAAAAAATGTTGCATTTGTTTATGTACTTCTAACATATTCCACTGTAAAATCATTTCTAAACTCATACCTTATTTGTTGTTTATACAGCTTTTAGATTGCAAGAATGTCTTTCTGCTTTCACTCTAAGATGTTCTTTAAGCAATAAAATTTATATTTGAATCAAGATGTTTTTTTCTTTTACAGGTTGATAGATTAGCAGAATGTAAAAGAATGATTGTGGCAATTGAACTTAGTAATTGGTTAAACGATGCAAACTATGCCCTGCAGGCTGTTGTACAATGTTATGGTCTCCTTGCTCCAATTATTTATCACAAGATTTCTTCAGTGGCGGTAGTTCAGGTGAGAACACTTTAAGACAGAGCAGCTTGTGTACAAATCCTGTGATTCTAGTGATTCCTTTGAGGAGGAGAGCCAGTCTTCCAGGCTTTGAGTTCTTAGGAGCTGCTGAAAGAAAACCCTTTAAAGTTTTTGTGTATTCTCAATGTGTATGTTCAGTGTAAACAGCCCAAATTCTGCTCTCAAATTTGCTAATGTAAATTCATGGTCTTATTTGTGTCTTCAGGATTATTCATTGGTATGTTTAAATTATAGTAGAATCTGTGAGGTAACTTTTAGTTGCTTTCCATTTACAAATAGCAGTGACATGTTCTGGATTTTCTTTTTCATTTACAGTTCTCTTTTCCTCCAAAAAAAAAGAAGGCAGCAGATAAATATTTTGATAAGGCGCTCATCAGTTTTCATGTATGAGTTCCTTTCCAGAAACAATCATCTTCTCTTTGAAAATTGAGAGTGCCTGAATTCCTTCTTGAGAGTTCTCAAGTAGCATGCAGGCTTTTTACTTTTAGCAAGAACATAGGAGAACCATGCTTGTGACCAAGATAGCTTTGTCAAAGGACAACAAAAGCTGCTCTGTGAAGATGGATGATCTGGGAAGTGACCACAGTGTAGGCAATGCAGGGCACTTCCTAACTAGGGTCCATCGAGGGGCAAAGTTTGTAGCAGCAAGGCTACAAACCCAAGACAGCCTAGAGTCAAGGCTACAACACTGGTTTGTCTAACTGGTGCATCCGGGAGAAAGAGGCTACCTGCAGCTTAAATCTGATGTCCACCTAGAAAGTAGAGACAAGAGGTAGGCCTGGAGACAGGTAAGCCTATTGCACAGCACAGGCAGGGACTGAAGGCCCAGGCTTGAACTTACATGGAACTCCTGGGCAGAGGCTTGAGCCTCTGGCCTGAGCAGGGAATCGAAGAGTAATTGGGGCTCAGAGCCCTAAGAAATGCTCCTTTGACTGCAGAGACTATATTTACATAAAGTGAAAATCTCTTGCTTCAGAAGGCTGTTATTTCCTATCAAAGGCACAGGTAGCCGCTGGAAATGTCTCCTGTTTTAGATTTTCTATTTTAAGGGAAAGATCACATGTTAGTCACATGTTTGTTTCCTCTCTGTTAGACAGAAAATAGGTGAAAGAAGTTTTTTATTTAACTTAATATCTATGATTTTGTGTGGAATTTGCCATGTATTCCACCAGGCAGTGGATGAAATGTTGACACCATTAAAATAAATGGAAATTTTGCTACTGGCTTTTGTAGAGCTAACATTTTATCCTGTTATATTTTAATCTATAATACATTGTTACAGTGAGAGGTACAAACTTATAAATGCATTCCAAACTTAGTTTTAACCCTTGCATTTACAGATCCTCATTAAGTGCTTGGCAGTCCTTCAAGAAATTCCAAGTGCTACTTTGCAAAGAAAACATGCAGGATGTTATGAGAGTATTCAGCATATGATAGCTTGTACTTCATTTTATACAGCAAAGGTATTGTGTATGTTATTGTGCTTACAACTCAGTTTAAGATATAGCTTCTATCTTTAAAAAAAAAAGTCTTAATAAGGTGGCCCTCAGAGTGGCGTTTTAGAGGATTATCACTCCTAAATAACAAAGATATGGAAATATTTATTAATATTTTGTGATATTTTTGTGTTTTATATAATAATGACTTTGACTTTTTAATAAAATAGAGAATTTTTGTTAAGAAAATTTTAATTATTAGGCAGTGACATTAGCTTTGCATTTTATTACATTACATTTTATACCTTCTTCCAAATAAGACTTCAAATGTAAAATATAACTTTAGAAATCTGATAGCTGCAAAGAACTCGTAGTGTAATTTTAGTCAGATTAACATGTATGGTTTAAGGACATAAGGAAGAATCCAGTCCCTTTAAAAAATATTTCCTGAGTTAGAGCCATATTATATTCAGAATTCATGCCGTGGTAAATGTATGACCTTGGAAAAAACAGATTCCCTTTAGCTTTGAACACACCTCAGCCAAGAGTCACTTCTGAAGCTGCTGCTGCTCTTAGGGATTCACCTGGGCTGGCTGTTCCGTTGCCTCAGGCCTTGTAGAAGCTCAATCTCCGTACTTAGCTCACAAGCCGGTATCATCATCAAAAGTTTTGAGTGCATTGCAAGACCCAGTTGGCATTCTTCTAAAATATATAAAGATGAGTTTGTTTTCTCTTGTGAAATCATTTTTTTTTTTGTATTAATGATTTTTTCTTGTCTGTGAGGGCTGTGTGTGCAATGAGGGCTGCCTGCTGCCTAAGGGCTGGGAAGCCACTGAAGATCCCCCAGTTGGAAGGGCATGGACCTCCCCAGCCAGAGCTTGTCCATTCCCAAGGGGTAGGGCAGGCTTGGGAGTTGTAGCCAAGTTCAACCAAGAGTCCATGGCACCAGGGAAATTTATGATGATGAGTCAGGTCCAAGATCAAGACAGAAAATCAGTCTGCAGGTCACAGTGAGATCTGGTAAAAGTAATGAGGGTCAGGCATGGTCCAGTGATAGCTGGACAAGTTTATCATCATGAGAAAGGTCCAAGGTTGAGCCAGAAAGTCAGCCCATGTGGCGGAATCCAAATCAACAAGATTCATTTCCAGCCAAGGGCCTGACTGTTGTAGAGGTAGGGATCAGGACTCCGATGGTCTTGCTGCAGTAAGGATTGGCAGTCCTGGGCTGATTTCAAATGGGGCTTCTGCACAGGGGTAGGGGGAAGCAGCAGGTGAGGCTGATCGGGAGCAGCAGGGTATGTCAGTGCAGTCAGGACTCCAAGAGGCTGGCTTCTCTGCCTCTTGCAGTACAAATCACGGCGGTTGCCAACTTCAGTGCTGTTGTCTCAGTTGCATAGTGTTGACTGTAAATGTGACCCTAGGAAATTTCATTTTCTACTGTACTTTAATCATTACTGTTGCTCATCTCAGAAGAACACCTGACTTGTCAGCAGTTCTGGAGCTTACCATGTTTTATCCAATTCATATAGCTCTTCTGTTCCAAGTCCAAGACCAGAAAATGCATCAGACAAGGGGCATGCCATTGCACCAGTAATTCCAGATTCATTAACAAAGAAAAACAGTAATTTTATGGAAAAAAGTGTTTGTTGTCCAGTGATGATTTTTGAGGGGGTAACCCATGAGGCTTTCACAACCCGTTGTTGACAATTGAGGAAGTGCTTGCTTGAGATGTTTTTGGAAAAAGAGATATTTGAATCATCTTGTATCTCAATTTTTAAAATACCTTTCGTGCTTTGATGCAGCAGATTTCTTCTTCTAGTTCTATTTGCAGTTGAAGTAATCAATAAAATTATTATTTTCTGTTCAAGAATGAAAATGACATGCCTAATCTCATCGATTCTCTTTCACTTTCTTTAATCTTGAAGGTGTCAAAGAATAACAAATAGATAAAGTTCAGGGGCCTTCTATTCAGCTGAATTCTCTAGAATTTAGTTAATGTGTTTGGAAAAAAATATTTCCTGAACATTGTGATTAAAAAGAATATTCCTTTACAGATAAGTATCTCAGCAGAGATACATATCTCAGTGAAGATATTTTTATTAAGCTCATTTTACTGAAATCTGTTTTCAACATGTACAGTATTTCTTACATTCTTAAGTAATTGTTTTAAGACAGCTGGATTACAAGCATGTTCCTC